AGAGAGAGAGAGAGAGAGAGAGAGAGAGAGAGAGAGAGAGAGAGAGAGAGAGAGAGAGGAAAGTGAGGTGAGAGAGGAGAGAGAGAAGACGAAGGAGAGAGAGAGAAGAGAGAGAGAGAGAGAGAGAGAGAGAGAGAGAGGAGAGAGGAGAGAGAGAGAGAGCGAAGAAAGAGAGAAAAGAGAGAAAAGAGAGAGAGAGTACTCCATAAAATATGAAAAAATCGCACGACAACGGACCGGACGGACAGACAGACAGAGTAGGGGGCCACAAGAGGACCCAAGATCATCTGAACCGAGACCCCCCCCCCCTGTGGATGACACCATCTGACCCGAATGCACATACCCCCCCCTAACACCCCACCTCCTCTCTTCCTTATCCCTCTCCCCTCTCTTATCCCTCTCCCCTCCCCTTCCCTCCCCTCACCACTCCCTCCTTCTTTCCCCCCCCCAACTCCCCCTATCCCCCCTCATTCCCACTCCCTCACTCCCCTCCCACTTCCCCTCTTATTCCCTCCCTCCTCATCCCTCCCTCTCTCCCCTTCATCCCTCCCTATCCCCTCTCCTTCTATCCCTCCCTCCTCCCCTTCCCCCATTCTTTGCGGATGACGAGGAGCGAAAATGTGTAATAAGTGGTGCTAATAAACTGTCCGGAAAACGTAAACAACGAAACCGCCCGTATTTCAGCCTCTCGGGTCTGACAGCTTCCCTTATTCGCTCGCTCGCTCTCCCGGAAGATTTTTTTTATTTCATTTTTCTTCTATTTTTTTTTTTACTTATTTACTATTTCTTATTTCATTCTTTTTTTTAATCGGGTCGAACGGGCGGGACCAATCTGTGACGGGAGTGGGGTATGGTGGGGCGTTTGAGAAGAGGGAGATGATGGAGAGAAAATGAGGGGGTGGTGAGGACCGAATAGGAGGAGATAGAGGAGGGAGAACTGGTAGGGTTCCGACAGGAGGGAAGAGGAATGAGAGGGAGTAAAGGGGAGGAGAGAGAGACAGCAAGTAGGAGTTAGGAGGGGAGAGGAGGACAGGAACACAAGGAGAGGGCACAAAAAAGGAGGAGGCAGGCGACAAGGGCCCGAAAGAAAAAGAAAAACGATGATGGAGTGATGACAGTAGTAAAAAAAAGTTCAGCTAACAAAATTAGTAATGAATGATATAATAAAATGACATGATAATGATAATAATACAATAATAAATACATTATAATTCCCAATAATTTATAATTAATGTTAGTAATAATAATAACAATAATTAATAACAATAGATAAATATAAAATAATAGACAATGACGATGAAAGATGACGACAGTAAAGTAATACGACGATATAATAGGTGGTAATCAAAACAAATGGACGGGCAGAAGGCGACCCGAAAAAAAATAATAAATATAAGAAAATAAGGATGAAAATAAGAAAATATATTTCTTAAGAAACATAATAAAAGGTAAAGCGAAATAGAAGACGAGAAAGAACCGAGAGAGATAGAGAAAAAAAATCCTCTATAAACAAGTAAGGATATAAATGAGAGCAAAACAAATAAAATTAAAATGTTAAAAAATACATAAATAAGCATATAAATACATAAAAGTGTCAAGCGAAGCCGAGCAAATGCGAGGTGCTGCCATCTATCGGCGCGCGGGTCAAACGGCCAAGGAGGGCAACATAGCGACGAAGAATAAACCGTAATAAACAACCTTCAAAAGCATTTATTCTCTCCCCTGGAAAGCAATAAAATGCGAAATGCACGTCAGCGGCGTCGTTGTTATAATCATCATTAAGATTACTGCCGAGCTCTTGAATCTCGAAAGGAGAAAAGGTGTTGACAGCTCGCTCGCTCGGTTCTCTCTCTCTCTCTCTCTTTCTTAAACCTCCCTCATTTCTTCCCCTGTTTCTCTTCTGTTCTTTCTTCCCCCTTCTCTCTCCCTATCTCCCCCCCCTCTCCCTAGCCGCCATATTTCTCCTCCCCCTCCCCACTCTCCCTCATCCCATCTCTCCTCCTCTCTCTCTCCCTTCCTCTCACGCCGTCACCTACCCTCTCCTCTCATCCTTACCCCACTCTCTCTTCCTCCCTCCACTCCCACTCCCCCTTCCCTCTCTCTCCACATTCCTTCCCATCTCTCCCATTCCCTTTTATCTCTTTGCCCTTCCTCTTCTCTCTCTTCTCTCCTCTCCCCTCTCCTCCCTCCCTCCCTTCTCTTCTCTCCTTCTTCTTCCTCCCTCTCTCCTTTCCTTCCTCCCTCCCTCTCTCCTTCCTTCCTCCCTCCTCTCTCTCTCTCCCTCCCTCCTCCCTCCTCCATTCCCTTCTCCCAGGCGTAAGGTCAGATTCCCGGGCTGATCTCCGAACTGCTCCTACGGGGGGGGGAGATGAGAGGGGGAGAGTTTAGGAAGATGAAGAAGAGGGTGGGGGGTGATATGAAGGAAGGTGAGGGGGGGAGGGTTGGAGGGAGGGAGGGAGGGTTGGAGGGAAGGGAGGGAGGGAGGGAGGGAGGGAGAGAGGGAGGAGAGGGAGGAGAGAGGGAGGAGAGAGGGAGGGAGAGAGGGAGAGAGGGAGGGGAGAAGAGAGGGGAGAGAGAGAGAGAGAGAGAGAGAGAGAGAGAGAGAGAGAGAGAGAGAGAGAGAGAGGAGGAG